TAAAGTTTTAGATTCAAACGAACATTTTTCAAAATCAGCTGTTTCAGCTGATTTTTTTTGTAAGTGTATATGAATGTTCCCGATCCAAAGATCATCGATTCGGAGTGTCCTCGATGGACTCCTCTCAAAATCGTACTCGAGTACGAGTACGTACTCGTACTTGCCCAGCTCTGGTTAGCTCAGATAGTTATGTGTTTGCTTCTTAGTTCTAGGTACCCACGTTCGAATCCCACTGGAAGTCATGTGAGTACAGGTTGTTTTCTTCCTCTCCTTTGTCACCCCACTAAGTTGTATAGTCGTTTGTATGCACATCATATGCATTTAGATACTTTAATTCATAACATTCGAATCGAAGAAAGTTAGAAAATGTTGTTCCAAATCCTATCACATCGAACTAAGTTTCGTGATTCGTTTCACACTTTGATATAGTACAAAATATTAACACATTTACTTGCATTTTTCTAGGAGAAAAGGCACAATAAAAACAAAAGTCGCATCTGATAAAAACAGTTCTGTATAAAAACTTAGAAATATCAAAACGATAGAAATGTTTCTGCGGGCGTTTTTCTGTTCGACACCGAGACTGGAACTAGTGGTAATCGAATAGTACCCGTACTCGAGTACGATTTTTTTGGTACTCGTACTCGACTCGAACTCGAGGAGTCGGTACTCGTACTCGAGAAAATCCGTATTTGCCCAGCTCTGGTTTGGACATGTCTCTAAGAGACGCGCTTAGAGACTAATACATAGTCCTGTTGGAATAAAAATATCGCTTTTTGTACGACTAAGCATATGTCTCTGAGAGACTCACATCGCACTTAGAGACTTCTATATACAGTTTTAGAATAAAATTCCATATTTTTATTTGAATCAGTCTATGTTTTAGGAACCGGGATGTTGAATTTTTTAACCCACAAGTTACATAAAAATGAAAAATTTTATGAAAGTTTTTACAAGTTTCATAAATATGTGATTTATGAAACTGGATTTATGAAGACAGGATAAGCCAGTAATAAACATTTATTTATAGAGCGATACAACGAATAAAGGTCGATTACGATTGTTCGTGGATAAATAAAAGGTGAAGATAGTGAAGTTTGTGTTTATGTCATTTTAATGTTTAATTGTTGATAGTTCTAGTTGCGTTTTTCTTTTTGTTGTTGTTTCATTGGTGGTGGATATTCTTGGTAAATAATAGAATATTAAACGTTTTAATTCTTGCCTGAATATTGTTCCTGTTAATGTAAAGAGATAAAAGCTTGTTGCACTATTTATGAACTGTACTAAATTTAGTAAAGTATACAAAAAGTTTTCAATATCCTGTCGTTCGTTACTTTTGACCAGTGATATTGTTAATACTGCATAGATTCTGTCTACTGAAAATGGTAATGATATTATTGTTATAAATGCCACCTGTACTATTAACATAACTGTTAACTGACGATCTTTATTCTTCATACGAGAAGGAACCCCTATTGTTGTTGTTGTTGTCGATGGAACAATTCGTCTAGCAATTGATCTCACATTACGAACTGTTAACAGGCCAAAAATTAACATAAGTAATGGTGGTAGAAGACTTAAATTGATTAACACATTGAAGCTATTATATTGCTGACATGTAGGTGATGGTGGTCCACAATTCAATACTGCTGCTGCCCACATGCCTCGGATACAATAAAGCATCGGTGAAAATAATGAACATATAAGAATAGTCATTAAACCAATTGCACGTTTAGCTGTTTTAACAGAGCTAAATGATCGAATTTTAACATTTTTTGAACTTGATACATATCGATCCACACAAGCCAAAACGATAAACCACGATGCGAGTGACAATGAAAAAAAATTGAGAAATACTCGAACTTTGCAATACAAGTCTGAAGCTGCTGTTGGATAAATGTAATAGCCATCAAGTACGCGTAGAAGACTACCAAATAATAGTGCAGTACAACCAGCTAATGTTGATGCAAGAAAATAGGTTGAAGTTGGATTTGTACATAACTGTTTTCTTGTAAGTATGATTACATTTAATATGTTACCAAAACTACCAAATATTAATAAAACCATTGGCATATAACGATTCAGTTGTTCTTGTGCATATTGAAGTTGAGTTGTCGTCGTTGAAGAATTCGATGACGACATTTTTTGTATGAAAATGAATGAAATCTAAATGATGAAAAGCTAAAGAGATGGAAAGTTTACTCTGTATATACTGCTAAGATCTCTTTTCTGACTTATTTCCGTGGTATACAGTAAAAGCAAAATACTTTGTTTTTTGGTTCTTTTTCCTTTCTTTTCTTAGTTCCTTTTTCTTAATTAACATTTTTCTTCTTTTAAGGGGGGCGGAACAAAACCTTTTTTACTTTTGCTGCAGTATTTTATTTGCTCTATCAATCTGCAGTCTTAGTTTTACCCAATCATTTTTAGTTTCCGCGAAAACTTTCAAGGAATTTGTGGTCCTCGCAAAGTGAAAAATCGTGTTCCACCTCCTTTGAGTCTAGTGCGCAGCCAATAAGCACTTTAAGTCAAATGTTTTTCCATGAACAGATTCACCAAAGTATGCATTATAGATTGTTGAAAACCGCAGGTGACTAACTTTTTTCCATTTTTCAGTAATTGACATTTTACTGGCGTCCAGTGGCTTGTGACATACAATTTGTCCCATCCCCATTTTGACTGTCTCCTGACCAAACTACATGGAATTAAAAACTCATTTTTTTACCATATATGTCAAATGGGTAGCACAAGTTGTGCTGTGAATAGCAAGGCTTCAGCTTATTTCTAAAGAAAGGAATTTGAAAATACAGTGAAATGTCTCATCTAGGGATGGTACTTTCTCTTTCCTACCTCGTTTTTTTATTAACAAAAGAAAAGTTTTTCTTTTTGTTTACAACAAAAAAGAGTAAAGATATAATGCATGTGTTTTCTTTCCTAAAAAAGAGGAAAGTGGCACCTTTCCTTTTCCAAAAGCGAGGAAAGCGATATCTTTTCTTTTTGCAAGAAAAAGACTTTCTTAAAAGGTGCAAAAGAAAGTATTAAGAAAAGATATCGCTTTTCTCTCTTTTGGAAAAGGAAAGGTGTCACTTTCCCCTTTCTTAGGAAAGAAAACATATGCATTATATCCTTACTCTTTACTTTTGAAATAAAAGATACCACTTTACCGTTACTCCGGAAAGGAACGGGAAAGTGCCACTCCTAGTCTCACCTCCTTCTTTTTGTCCCACTCCCAAACATATCTCTAGAATCGTAATGGCTAACACATAAAGCCGCAAAATTTAAAGTTTAACCGCAAAGTTTAAGATTATACGTATTTTGACACCCCGAATCGAATGACCCACTCAGTTTTCTGAAAATCAACTCAGCAAAGGATTTCTGGAAAACCTAGGTTTCTAGAGGATCAAGCTTAGAAACTGTCGTAAACCCTTTTTAAAGGATGCCAGTCGATAGAGCATATGTGAAAATCTATGTTTCAATACACTTTTTAAGCCAGTTATGCTTTTCAGCTGAAAAGCAGAGAAAACCGCATTTTTCGATCCTAGATCAAAAAGTGAACAACGAGTACTTGGGCAAAGAAGGACTTGATAGTTTGGAAACAGAGCTTTTTATAGACTTTCGAGTATCTTCTATAAACCTACAGTGTTAAAACATTTTTCTGACCACTTTCATTTCAGGTCATTTTTTTCTTAAAAAAACTTCAAAAATGGTACAAAAATCACTAGAATCAATCTTACACATGTTGGACCAATACATCTTTTTGTTTCATTTTGCGTGAAAAATCTGTTTAAATTAATTTAAAAAAAATTCATATAAATTCATTCTACGTAACTTTTCGTGCGAAAATCTATTTAAATTCATTTCTGTCTCAATAAATCTGGTTTTAGTTTTCGTAAAAGGTTAATTAAAATTTTTTTTTCTTCATATAGAAATAAAATGCATTTAAATAGATTTTCGTAGAAACTAAAACCAGATTCATTGAGACAGAAATGAATTTAAATAGATTTTCGCACGAAAAGTTACGCGGAATGAATTTAAAAGGATCTTATTAAAAATTAATGTAAACTGACTTTTCTCAAAGAATTTCAAAAATAATGTATTTAAATAGATTTTTTGCATTTAAAAAATAATAAATCGAAAAAAGGAACACATTTCTTTAAACGTTGCCGCAATGGATGGTTAATGCGATGTGCGTGATCTGTATTTTTAACCTTTTTATTTCAAAATGCAGAAAACCGGAATTTTCCTAACATGCAGTTCATTTCTAAAGGTATGTTCGAGGAGACAGATTTCCTATCAGTGGGAAGGTTTATCAACTCCAGATGGACTCATTTTTTCTGAACCTGACTAGCAGAGCTGGGCAAGTACGGACTTTCTCGAGTACGAGTCGAGTACGAGTACCAAAAAAATCGTACTCGAGTACGAGTACTATTCGATTACTAGAAGGATTTGTTCATCAAAATGAGGGTTATGTCTCACGAACATCGCAGAGGAAGACGCTGCTCGCAATCGAGTACTCAACCTCGAGTACGAGTACCGACCCTTCGAGTACTCGTACCACTAGAATCGTACTCGTACTTACCCAGCTCTGCTGACTAGTATTCTACGCTAGGGAATTTGATTACATCATGTTGAGACTCGATTCAAAAGGGGCTGTGTACATCTTCAAATGAATGAACAACACACCTAACAATTATCACTTTTAGTCATTTCTCTGCCATAATGAACAATTATGTATTTTTCAAAAGCATACTATTGGATAGCCCTTGAAATTCTCTACAAAGTGAACTGGTCAAAATATCCATACAGGTGGGACCAGTCATTAAATATACGGAAAAGAAGCGTTTGGCGAAGAAGCTATCTATGCTGTACAATATGTCACAATCACAAAAACTCCTTTGTTTTTGATTTTTTAGTAAAAGCTGGGACCAATCTGAATACTGTTTTGAATAGCTCGAGGAATCTTCTATCAGATGAGGTGCAGATCGCCGCTTCAGGGAAAAGTTGATAATAGGGTTTCTGGAATACTTGACCTTCCAATGCACACTTCACTGACCACCTACCCACTCTCTGGAAAGCCACGAGGACTAGTCGCAGAAGCGGTGTGGTACCGAGGTACGAGCACAGTACCTTTGAAGTACGTGACGAACAACATTATCATCAAACCGTGCCGCCTATGGTGTATGAAGTAGAGTGACATCTGCTTTATTCTACTCATTCCTTCGAGCGCACACTCACATCTACCATGGTTCAGACGTGAGAGGAGTCCATCGAGGACACTCCGAATCGATGATCTTTGGATCGGGAACATTCATATACACTTACAAAAAAAATCAGCTGAAACAGCTGATTTTGAAAAATGTTCGTTTGAATCTAAAACTTTA